GTTGTGGCCCAGTACCGGCCAGCGGGGAACATCACCAACGCTGGCTACTATGAGCGAAATGTCCTCCCACCACAGAGTAAGGGGATAAGTGTGCAGCAAGCGTGCACTGAACCAGACAATAATATAAGTGACAGCCGTAAATGGATCTTTTTTTACTCTCCTATCTGCACATCTACTTTGATGTATTGAAGGATTTTTGCCTGCAGTCATGCAGGAAACTGCCATTAGAGGGTAGTATTTAACACAAAAATTCATGTAGGTGCTCCTCGACATAGGGTGGGAATACGTTTCGATGATCCCATTGTCAGTAGGAAATATTGTAACTTGAATATGATATTATATGACAAACAAACAATTTAATAAATAACTACTGTCACTGAGTAAGTAAATAATTAATTGCTGTGACTTATTAAATAGTAGCAAATGAAACGGAGATAAATTAATACAAGTTTATTCGGTTAAACACAGAAACAAACACCACACAACATATTGTTAAACATTGTATGACCATGATGTGATGTGGATGTGATTTGGAAATGTGGGTAAATGCGGCAGAATGTGCAGTCATGTAGTTATGGGGTGTTTTATAATAAACCTGTCATGGGGTCCCCACCTGCCCCCCACCACAAGTCCTTACTAAGTGATGTAATGCATCCATGGGTTTCAGAAGGAGGAGGGAGTGGGAGCGACAACAAGCCCCCGACCCCTACCACCAAGGACACCCCCAGCCCAACCGGCCCAACTGCACTCTCTGTGACCACCGCTGACTTCCAGAAGGAGGCGCTGGAGGCCCACAATGCTCGGCGGCAGCAACACGGAGCACCGCCACTCAGCCTGGACCTGGACCTGTGCCGGGAGACGCAGAAGTGGGCCGAACACCTGGTACAGCAAAACGCTTTGCAGCATAGTGACACTGACCTGGGCGAGAACATCTATTATAAGTGGACATCTGATAAAGCTGCAGTATCAGGTGAGATGGGCGTGGGGGTGAGACTGTGCTCTTGGGGGTGGGGCTATTCTGATGAAGTGGGTGTGGTTATGGGGGTTGGGAAATTTGGGGGGATGAGGACGTGGCTTTGGGTGAAATTGTTAGACTATTATGTCACAATGACTTTCATAAGCGATTTAAACCCTGATTGGGTAACACAGAATAAACTCTATGTAATTAGGAAATCTAGCCAGTGCTCACTTTTTGCAATCTTTAACTGAAAAAGGACTAAAAGAAAAATCAACTTTTGCATGCTGACAACAAGATATACTGCAGTGTTCTTAGTCTCTGCGAGATTAAACAAGAAGCTAATGAACCCAGAATGAATGGTGACCCTAATTTGTTATCAGTTTATATAGCATCTGTTAGCCTTGGCTGTAGCACAATCTGCAAAATCTGAATTTCAGTTAAAAAAAGACAGATGCTGCATATTTAATTCATTTATTGCCGTCAGTTTGCCTGTAAGTCATGGATTTCCATTATGTTTTAATAAGGAATCAATTAGAAATACTTAATTTCTTATTAATTTTTACTTTATTATTGAGAGAAATGGTGACATGCAATTTCAGAGAGCTGGGAATGTACAGAAGCTAATGGTTTAGGTGCATTTTAATGGAACCATTTTGGCATTTTAACAGGAAAAGACGCAGTGGAGTCCTGGTACAGCGAGATCAAGGACTATGATTTCAGCAAGTCTGGACATCAGAAGAAAACAGGTGAAGGACACACACACACACAGACACACACACACACACACACACACACACACACACAGACACACACAGGCACACACACACAAACACACACACACACAGTATTCAGTCTCTCACTAGTAGCACTGATCCATCTTATTATAATTTGGTAGCAGAAACCAAATCCTTTACTGTTTGGGGTCCCCAGGTAATAAAGTTCAGTGCCATGGGGGGGGGGTGGGCAGGTTTAAGTACCACCCTGGCGACCCCCCCACCTTTATCCATACTTTATATACACACATGTATCCCTAATAACTCAAATATGTATTTCAACATGGTATATAAGACTTTCAGCTAGGGCTGCAACTAATGATTATTTTGATAATCGATTAATCTGTTAATTCTATTTCTTTCGATTAATCAATTATTCATTGAACGAATACAAATACGGCTGATTCAAAGACAAGATCGAGACCTTTGATATTACTATAAATGTCTATCATGAAGAAATGAAACAGTGGTGTAGTAGTAACAAGAAATTTAAGGTGGGTAAACTATATGCACAGCAGTAAAAACATTGGGTAACTATTCATATCCTTAACAGTGATCTCAAAAAAGGTGAGTAAACGCTATTTTGTAAATTTAAATGGTGTGTAAACTGCGCTTATGTGCATTTGCCCTCCACTACACCACTGAATGAAGGATTGGCATCTCCTTTTTCTTTTATGGCGGTCGGCATCCAGCTTAATGGTGCTTTACTGCCACTGCAGCTTTGGTAAGCTTACTGCTCCCAAATTAGGGGGTAGCTACTGTACTTATGTATATATAGTAACGTAGACCCAACTAGTCGATTATTAAATTAGTTGCCAACTATTTTAATAGTCGATTTTAATCGAATAGTTGTTGCAGCCCTACTTTCAGCACAAATGGCCAAATTACAAAACTGTCTGCATGTTTATATGCAGTCATTTTTTGCAGTCGCTTAAATTACATTGCGTTTAAATAGCAACAGTTATTTAAAAGTTACATTTAAGCAAAAATAATAATACTAAATAGCATGCATTTTAAAATAAAAGATGAAAACAAAACAGAAAAAAATGTTATTGTCATGATTTGTTACTGGAAAGTTGTACTTGGATGAATGTGAGACCATTTTGAAAATCTGGGAATTTTTTCATCCGCGTTTTGCCATGGGCTAAGGCATACTAGCATTTCAGACTG